AACGTGTCACAGTTCCATAACGGAATGAGATATCAGAGTTTTTCTTTCACCAAAATGATCCCCATATCTCAATCTATCTAAGCACATGAACACTTAAACAATGAGTATTAACATTTGAAAAGATGTAAACGACAGTTTTTCATGATTTTAATATTGTGAGTATCTCGATGTAATGGAAGATAGATCGAATGGTGTTAATGATGGTTATGAATGTTTTCTTGAATGAAGTAAAGTAAAAGACGACGATAATGAAATAATAATAAATAAAATAAAGTGGTAATGTCTGTTGGTTCTTTGCATAGCTCGAGGTTCAGGTTGTGTTCCGTCTTGGAGTCTTTCAATATTGTTCAGAATAATTTTAACAGCGTGTTGAGTGCAACCTTCATCCGTAGTTTTCGTTATGATACTGAGTATATTGTAAAACTCAGAATACGAAAAGAAAGAGAAAAGATACAGAATAAGCAAAAGACACAGTACAAGAGAAAGATTAATGTGATAAGGTGGGGGGGGGGGGGGGGGGGGGGGGGGGGGTGAGGGTGGGGTTGGGTGGGGGTTATATATTGGAGGATGTCTACCTGTTCTCTTGGCACAAGTTGATTTCAATTGAAATTTCTAATATAATATTTTGATGGTAAGATTAATTTTAATTAATATTATTTCCCTACGTAGTAATGATTTACTTTAACCCGAACAACGAGGCGAAAACAAAACAATTTGCATTTGATCGTCATACAAAAAGAAAGAAATATATTCTGTACTTTATTGTTATACAAAGATATGAGCGAATGAGATTATTGTATTGATCGATTTTGATATATAAATAAGATTGAATTGCATATTCAGTAACGTTTGCCGCACTATAATTTCTACTTCTGTAAATGCTGTTATTATTTTTTATTGTAATTATTATGAGAGATGCGAAATGTATGTATCCATATTTATATACTGGTCTTGAACGTTATCTGAACATTAATATATAATATTCTCGGTTAGTTTCAACTAGAATTTTAAATCTATATATTTTTTTTTACGTAGTATAACGGAATGAATTTTATTTTCTTATTTCAGTAATCATAAAGCTTTGATCCGAGCAAGGGGGCATAAAAAAGATTTTTTATTTTATAGTTATATGAATAATATTAAAATATTTACTTCGATATAAAAGAATAATTAAATAGTTACGTCGAAGCGCTAAAAATAATTCTTATCATGCTGTACTTCAGCAAACTCTGCAAAATATAGTTAATCGAACTAAAAGGTGGAATTGTTATTGAAAATTTATCTTAATAAATTTAAAATATTTTGAAAAGAAAATTGAAAGTTTTTACTTGTTAATGTAAAAGTCAATCATAGCATTAAGTTGAAAGTTTTAATTATTTTTTATATAAAATAAAACAATTTAAAATATCGTTTCTCTTTTTTCTCTTTTCTCTCTCTTTTATCGATATTTAATTAAATCTACTATTCCAATCTCAACTGAATTCTCATGTCAACTGTGACATATATATGCTATGTATATAGCAAAAAAAAAATCCCCAGTTAAAAAAATCCCCAAATAAAAATCCCCAACTGGTTACCAAGTTCTATATTTTTTCGTAATTACCCCAAGCGGGGATACAATTTGGGGATGCATCTGGGGACCAGAATTTGGGGTAAATGGTAGTCAACCGAATTAATACTTGAAAAAAATGGTAAGTTTACCAACTAATTAATATCATTTTAATAGAATTAAAACAACAGGAGAAGATAATGCAGATTCATAATAATATGTTTATTTTTATAAACATATTTCTATATATATGATTGCAATGAAGTAAATTTTTTAATTAAAGTTTATTTCAGAAAATGTTTTAAATATCTATATTTCATATACTATATTTTCATATCTATATATATATTATTTCAATAAAAGGCATATCAGTTATGAATTTAGGACTTCTGATGTATCTTTTATAACTTTTTTGTTATTTGTTTTTCTTTCTTTGTTACTAATCTTGATTAAATTCTAACAGATACATATATCATCTTGAGAATGTGTATACGGATATGAGTTGATAATAATACAATACTGATATCCATACTCTCATAATATAATTTATATGATTATCGAAATTACTTTATAATATTTTTGTACAGCGACTACAATGCAACGATTTCATCAGTAGACAAATCACTAACAAAGTTGATGTCTATACAACGGTGACCTAACAATGTTTTTAGATTCATAATACAAAGCATCTATTACTTATTGTTGCTACGATGAAACATTTATAGAACGATGTTCTTATTTATTAGTAAAATTCTTTTAAATAAGAAAAACACAAATAGTCATAGTTGTTATTGGAATAAGTGTAAGTGTTAGGTCTAAGAATATACATAAAGCTCGTTATGAAATAATGAGTTCATAAAATAGCATACGTTTCTTGAATCTAATAAAATGACGAACTTTTAATAAGAATAGTTACTCATCTTTTGAAATCAAGCTATAATTACAGTTTCCTTCATTATTTTCATAAAGTTCCGGACAAATTAAAAGACATCCCATTGAAATAAATTATTCAAAAGACGTATTAGAAGACCACCCCTTGATTTTTCATTTCTAATAGTCAGTTTCTTTTTAAATATTTTTCTGTATATGTGTGTTTTAGAGTTACGCTAAAGAATTTTCTGCTGCTTTTTCTTCAGTCTAAATAGTTCATAGTATCTTGAATAACATCGAATGTGCTTCGTAGACGTAGAAAACATATATAGGAAATAGTGCACATAATGATTATTTGAATTCTTTCATTCTATTCTATTTATAAACTTTTTTCCTTAGTTATTTAAATGAAATTAGTTTTTAATTGAGCATTTTGTGTATACTGTCTAGCATGTTAAAAAATATAAGTATTTCTTTTCTGAAATTTTATTTCTAAAGTAATGTAGATAAATAAAATATCTATTACATAATAAAATAGTGTGATAGTAAGAGATATTCACCAAATTCATCTCTATACGTCTACAATAACATGATTTTCAAATGATATAATAGAAGATCCAGGTCTATTAATCTGTCCAGGCTTTCAGAAACATTTGTCATTTTTTCTTATCTATTCATAAAAGAACAAATAAAGATTGAGCTTGTAACATTAATCTTGTGAATTAATGTCATTCGTTGAAGAAACATTTATACTGATTTATACGATTTAGTTCTCGTAAACAAAAGTATTGTCTATACATTATAAATATGCCGATATAAAAAAAGAGTAGAATACATTGTATCTGCAAGTATTACTTTATACATTTATATTATTAAGTAAATATGACATAATAGGACTGGCGGCATCTACGCACAGCGATGTCACTTTCAAGAATACTTTTTTTCTTTTTGTTAATGTACTTCTTTCTATTATATCTATATTTTGTTTCTGTTAATGTATGTATATATAGACTTTCTGTTCCTACGCTTCCATTTTATGCTTACGATCATTAGTTTTTTTATTATTTTCCATTTCATAATTAGATTCCTTCAAGTAGAAAATACTATATATATATATATAAGCAAGAAAAAAAGAGTAAGTAGCTTACATTTTCTTCTTGATTAAAGACATCAACTTGTATATTGAGTTTAAAAATCTTATTATCATGAACAATACAGACGACGATACCGAAATTCTTCAAACATTTGCAAGTCGATTATTTTGGCTTATTTTCTTCTGTCCATTTTCTGTCATATCATTATTTTTCTTCTACTTTTATTTTTATCATATTTGTCGACACTATAAAGTATTATTTCGAAAAATAAATAATCATACCCTTTTATGTCTATTAATTACTGGTTATCTAGTAGTTCAAACTGAATTACCAATGACAATTGGTTTTCTTATAAGAAATCGAGTTCTAATAGAAACAAAAAGGTTTTGTATATTTTGGAATTATTGGTATTATGTTTGGACTACTATGTCAATTCAATTTACAATGTTAACATCTATTAATCGATATTTACTTATATTTCATAAAGCATTTCTAATGAAATATAAACTATACTGTCATTTTTTACCCATGATTTGTATTTGGTTATATTTACCTTGTCTTCATTTATATTTTATTGTATTTTTTCCTTATAGTAATACTACATTTGATTATTCTAAAGTATGGTGTAATGGGCCACAGTTTTTACTTGTTACCTTTTATGTTACCTGGGACGATCTTTTTGATACATTTCTACCAACTGCTATAACAGTGCTTTTCAATCTTATTATAATCGTAAGAGTTAGTTGTTTAAAAAGACTTTCAGCCAATACAGCAAGTAAATGGAGGAAAAATCGTCGAATGATTCTGCAGTTGACAGCAATTTGTTGTTCACAACTTATTGCTAGTTTACCTTATTGTATTGTTACTTTAGGCGAAACTTATGGTTCATCAACATTTGCTTTAGATATTTATACACAAGTATTAATTTATACATTCTACGTTCCAAGTCTTTTTTCACCTCTTTTTGTAATGGTTACATTGCCAAAAGATATAAGAGACAAAGTACCAGTTATTTCGAAATGTCGGAAGAAGAAACCAAATACTCTTAGTGTTTTACGAAGATTGTCAGCTGTCGATGCTAATCCTACAATAAAAGATCAGCTCCAATCAAGAAATACAAGTGTACCGAATCGAACTCAAACTGCATTTTCTAAGATGCGCTCGCATCGAACTGCACCCGAAACAATTCTTGAAACACAAGCACAGAAGAATAATTAATTGGTTAAGTTACAAAATTGTGGGACAATAATGATCAACTAGTTTTTCCCAATTGTTTTACATTGCCATATAATTTATAGACAAACGTCTTATTATTTTCTGAAGAGTTTTTTTTTATAAATAATTATACAATCTACGTAAATAGATGATAGAGCGAACGAATATATTGTAGAATCTTTTCTCACTTATATAAATCATTAAAATTCTATGAATTCTCTCTCAAATTCATACTCTTTGTCGTTGATTTGCTCCAAATTCCGTATAAAATTTACTATATCTTGGTTATTTACCTTAACTTTATCAACTATTTTCATTAAATGATAGATAAAGCCATGAAGGTTTTATTGTCAATCTTGAAAGGATGAGGTGAGCACACGAAAACTCGAATATTTAGTCGGTGTCTGATTGATCAGTTTTGTCGATCAATCAAACATCCAGAATATTACGGCAAGCAACAAATCAGTGTGTGAGAATATGGGCGCCCTATTGGGTGATAGAGTATAGTAATCGTAAGGATGGGTGACGATTTTAGTCGGGAGTGAAATCAGATCTTGGGGATGGATGTGAGTGGACTAGCGGATGAAATCCAGTTTGTTGAGTGTACTGAAGTTCGTTTTGCTGAAGTTAGAAACTGGTGAATCTGCTCTTTTTGTATTTGTTAGCACTTGAGAGTGTGGGTGCGTACGAGTAGTGTATTGGAATTCTACTGTCACACCCACAACCCACACCCTCTTACATTGATTTTGTGCATGATTATTTGTTTCTAATTCATTTCGTTAAGAAGATGTTGGATTATTAAGAATATTTTCCGTCGTACTCGCAGTTGAACCCGAAAAGTATGTATTAATATGTTGTTTAAAAAAATATCAAAGTTTATAAAGTAGACTCACCTGATTATTCAATATTTAATGGAGTAGAATCAAGCATATTACTTAAGCGGTTCGTATTATTATTAACTAAAGGTAACAGTTCGTTTCGAAGATGATTATCCGATTCAGTTGTTCGATCGATAAGGAGATGGTTTCGTGGTTTAATAGTATTGTTTGTATTCAGTAATTCAGATAGTTGAGAAGAGTTTTTAGAACGAGACAATAACGAGTTTCATGATGGATTATTATTTGAACGGTGTGGTGTAAAAATTAAAGTCGATAAATGACTATTAGAACTGTTATCAATATTATCATTATTATTAGTTAGAGTTTGATCACGATTACACTGTTACCGGCTGTCAATAATCAAATTATCTATATGTCAGAAAAAATTTAATTGAATAACACTTTTATTCGTTTAAAATAAATTTAACTTCACCTTGTGCAGTAATTTGAGATAATGGTGGCATATAATTTTGTTTTTGATCAAACGACATTCTATATTGGACCATTTGTTTTGACAATCGTTCTTCCATTTCGTTTTGTATACGAACATCATTAAATAGATGGCAGTACTAAATATTATCGTCATCAAATAAAATAAAATTAGTTGTAAACGTAGTTAATTCCATGTTTATTAGTAATGGTGACGAAAGATATACATGTTCATAAGTATCAATATCGACGCCAATTGATTGAAGATAATTAAGCATGTCAGTATCACCGCGAATAGTAGCTGATGATGTTTTTAAATAAGTTTCTTTTCGTGCAGTAACAGCGTATCGATTATCCTTAACACCTTTTAAGAATACCAAATTGTATTAATTCATCAATAGCTTGAATAAGTCTTAACATTTTGTTCTTCGATCTTCGATAATTGATGAATATTTTGGTAAATGAAACGCCAATTATTTCACTGCTAAACGGAGCTTTAAGAAGAATAGGTGATGTCATTTTGCGCAATATGGATTAATGTTCATAAAAATTACTGAAATACAATATGAGTTGCGATTAGATATATCTTACAAATAAATATTATTGAATTGATATTGTTCAGGAAAGAGTGCTTATTAATTTATTAAACGAAATATGAATGAATAAAATGTAAAACAGTCAGAAATATCCATTTTACGTCTCTTACTACTCTACAACAATTTCTGTTAAAAATAAATTGAATTTTACTAAAATATTTCTAAAGTATAGGAGTACCATAAAAATCAATTTGGAAAGAACCAATTTTGCTAGAAGGGCCAAACTATAGAGAAATGAATGGTGCTATCTCTATTCTGAAATCATTTATGAAGTGGTTACGGAAACATACAACTCAATACATTGGTATTATAATATATGGAATCATAATCAGCGTTCTCAATAAAAAATATAATACGACTTACTCGTTTGATAATTCATTATTAATTATAATCAATCATTATTATTGGTTTCTGTTCTATCCTAAACATAATCACATGATATTCGTATTCGAATTATTTTCATTAAAAAAGAAAATATCATTTAAATATGTCATCTGCAAACAATAGTAGTAATAATAATAATAATTCAACAACTTTTGCTTATGAAATTTCATTGGAACGTCATAATATATTATTTTAAAAATATGAAAAATTAAAAGAGGAAAATGAAGATTTAACAAAACGACTAATGTTACAGTAGGATATTTTAAAAAAATTTCATTATTTGCTATAATTTTCATAAAATTTAAAAATAGACCAACAACTGATACAACAAGTTTTGTTCTTAAGATACCTCGAATAGCACTCGACGAATCGAGTGGTATGTTAAAAAAACCAAAAAAAGATTGAAAAAAGAATTTGAGTAATAAAAACAATAGCAACATTTTCTACTGAAAAATAAAACAAATTTTGATTTCAATTGATTTTAATTTGAAACAAACATATCTAACCAAAATTATAAAAACGAAATGAGTTTACAAGAAAACAAAGAATATTTCTGATATCGTTTATTAAATGGGAAATCAGCTAAATTACTTTAAAAGAATTTGAAATTTGAAAAAAGATAATTCTAATTGAAAAAATTTTATTAAATTGTAATTCATAGTAAAGAAAAAAAGAATTGTTCTCTCGATTATCTACTATTTTTTTTTGATAAAAAATTTGACGAAAATATAACTAGAATTTAGGATTTTTTTGACATTATCAATAATCAATATTTATAATTTTTTAGAAGAAAAAGATAAATAACAACAACAACAGAAGAAAAAAGAATTAAAAAAAATATTGTAGAATAATAGATCTTACTTACAAGCAAATATTAACCTGTAAGGAGAAAAAGTTAACCACAACCTGTCAAAACATTATCCAACACGTCACGAACGTGCTCAGGAACGTCTTTCAACAGTTTCTACAAGTACTGTTCGTGCCATACATTGTAAGTATATATATATTTAGAAAACTATATTTATTAAAATAATTACTAAATAATATATTCATTGTTTAATTTTGTTATAAAATATTTTTAATAGATTTCCTCGAATTCAATAATAGAACTAGATTTTAAAATAATCATCTATATTTAGGCTCTTATAAAAATATATATATACATATAATAACTATGTTTATTTCTTCTTTTATCAGAGAAGACATCCACACCCACATCCACACATCCTTACGTCTAATGAATATACCGGTACATTCGTGAATGCCTCATCGTAGTTGCCTTTGTTAATACCATGAAAATGTCAATTTACTGTTAACATCATTATCAAAATATATTCGACTATGTGTTGATTTGAATTTACTTCAAGAATTTGCGTTCATGCTTCTTTGTAATGAACAAGAAGAACAATATATACTCGGTCGTTGTCAATTATGTGCAGATAATTTTGATAATAATGTTATTGAAAATACTACTAATCCAACTAAACGTATTCAATGGTTTCAGTGAGTTTATAAAGAAGGGAAAATAGAAAAGATGAATTTAATGGTACAGTTAATCGATGTATAAGAATGAATAGTAGAATAATAGACACCGATCTGATCACTTTTTTATTCGAGAGACGTTTCGTGAAACTTTTCACATCATCAGTCAAAAAGAAAACCAATAACAAACATTAGAAACGATAGGAATATATACAGTATAGGAACAAACAAGTGTAATCTAGTCAATTCAAACGTTAGAATTTACTAAACTTTTAAATTTCATTCTCTTCCCCAAGAATGTGTGTCTGATAATGTTTTTTCAAAATATATTCAGATTGTGACTTTTTTTTGAGAATAAACCACCTTATTTGTTCTGTTATGTATCAAATTCATTAGTAGACTTTCTTTTATTTCTCGTTTTGTATCATTCGATTCTACTGCAATAATCTGATGGTTCCAATTATTCTTGTGTTGAATGCGGCTATGGGTGAGTGTATCATGTTTATATCGCAGTCACACCCATACCCACACCCTTACACTGACAGCATGGATACGTACAAAATCAAGCACCAACTTTAAGGAAGAATTTAAAAAAATGGGATATATATGAACTGATAATATTCGAATAACACCAAGAACCCTTCCAAATTATACGTTTGATCCAGCTGTAGTTAGTTGTCTATTATTAAATATTTATGAAGACGAGGATGAACAACAAATTCAAACCGCAGTTACATTAGCTGCAGAACAGGATAAAATTTTATTAAATGAAAAAAATAAACAATTAAAATTAACTGATTTTTGGAAAAAGTAGTCAAATTAAACTAGTTACTTTAAAACTATTTTTTTCCTTTGTTCTCTTGTAACTTATAATTTATAAAAGTATTTATTTGTTCTTATATTTATCCTGACAAGATTTTGTGTAATTAATTTTGAATCTGTTCTAAATAAAACTCGAGATAATTGAAATAACAATTTTCTTATGTTTTTTTAGGAAATTTCACGATTCTGTGCGATGGTGGTATATAATAAGCGATACCAATATCAACACTCTATATTCTGATATTGAAACTCATGATTCTAGACAAATGAAATAGTCTATGATCCTGAATTAATTATTAATCGATAGCTCTTACATAGAGCTATCCATTGGTACTACTGAATCAAAAAAAAGATCTACTCCAGGATGAAAGAACCACAGAAGCAGGGCTCTCGAGTACGTAATTTTTTTTTCATTTATTATTCATGCATATATCGAAAATACGATTCCATGAAAAATCACATCAAAAATAAAATAAAAACTTATATAACTATTTAGGTATTCTATTGAAGAAAAACGATATGTGCTATAGAATATTCTTGAGGTCCGTATGCGTCAAGAATACAAAAAAGAAATTTGCTTCAGATGATATTAATTTCAAGATGTTCATTGATTAATACTAACGGATATTTCTTATCTGAAATTATTTAGAATAAAACTTATGCTTTACAAGCGAGAACTATTAACGCGAATGGGTGTGGATGGGTATTTCTATGCGTGTTTGACAGAAGAAAAGACATCCACACCCACACCCTCAATTTAGCACGATTGTACCAGTTGAAGCTGCATCATGTAATCGTGCTTTTTGAGAAATTCTAAAAAGATAAGTTATATTACATTTGGAGGAATAAAAAACCAAAAAAAAGGAATTGTTCAAAAGTTAAAAAATGTCTAAATAACTTATATTATATTTTTAAATAATATATATTTATTATATTCATAGGAATAAATTGGATAAAATAAATATAGAATTCCCTCAAGATACTCGTGGTATTTATCAATTAATACAAGATGAAATTTTTCTAAAAGATTCTGGTCGACGATATTTAACCTTTATCTATGGTGGATTTTCGCATGAGCAAATGATGATACTTCTGTGGTGCTGGAATACGGATTCATTTATAACTTATGTGAGACATCACCCATATTCGTATTATCATTTATTTCCTACGTTATCAGTTTCTCCATTATTTCATTATTCATTTTTATTAAATTACAGAAATAATGATAGTCTTGCACAGAAGCCAGTTATCTATGCTAAACGATTTATTGATCATAGTTTTGGAGATTTTCTTATAATGTTGATACATTTCATGTTCAACGTACTTTCCTGAATTGCAATTTTTTTGTTTATAGATAATTACTTATAGAATCACGTTAGCATAAATATATGTTATATTCTTTATTGAATAATCAAGATGGTTAATATTTCGATTCGGTGAGTATTACTCGAGGTATGCATAGAACAAAATCTGTTAAATCAGTTGCTGGCCTATTTCAAAAGTATATAAAAAATTATAACAAATAATAAAAACAATTTTATACAGTCTAATTTGGCAGCCAATCCTTTCTAAGATGTTCATTTTCATCTTTTAAATGTTTAATATCTTCCAATAATATCTCATATGCTAAGCTTGGTACTGGAACTGATGATGAAATACAACTATTACTATTTGATGATATCATTGTTCGTGATAATGTACTTGTTGGTCCTTAATCTTTTCGATTAATATTCTGGTTATCCTTTTTAGTTGAGTTTCTCCAAATGATTTTTAAGATAGTTTATTTTAAAACACAAATATTCTGTTCATTAGTGCTCTTTCTCTTTTCCCATTAATTTTTTTTTGTTTCTTTGCTTCATTTATATTATATAGATACTGTGCTCATTATACACATGTATTAAACGTTTGATTAAAAGGTTTAAAGAACGTCAAACACCTCCAGATCCAGATGTACCTTCAAATGAAGCTCATTTTGAAAGAATTTCATTCAAACAATTAGTTCGTCAAGGTACGAATTTATCTAAAGAACTGAAACGCGAAGCTCAATAAATCAAACGGTATTATTGATTTATAGTACGACATCGTATATCGTTACAGCGTCCAAAAAGAAATCAAAAACTACCGTTATCTGAAGTCAATCAACGCGCGACAGACTGTTATAACTATATTCGAAGAGCCAGCACTTAAGGTCCAACATTACTATTCAGAGGGAAAGGTCTTGCGTTGCAAAAAGGAATTAGTCAATACTCAAAGCATGTGAAGCTTTATTTTACTCCAAAAGAGTGGATGTAGATAGTGTATTGAAATCGAACATCTACACCCACATCCCGAGATAGTAGGTCGAGCACAACAACTGCCAATAGTGGTCTCATTCTGCACTTGTACCAAGAATATTCCAATATCTGGTCCTGTACGTCAAGAATATGCCCACGATTTTGCTCAAAAACTCGATGAATCGACGAATTTTCATGCAAATAATGGTTGGTATGATCACTTACACACCAAATACAACATCAATTTTTGTAAAATTGTAGTCAATGACTGGAGGAGTCATTTAGACTCGATTATTGAAAATTACGATCCTAATAATATTTTCAACTGCGATGAGACGTCATTATTCTATAAACTAATGTATAATCGATCGTTATACTGATATGTTATGTTCTAACATGCTTGGAACTGAGAAACTAAAACCTGTTGTAATTGGTAGGTTAACGTTTATTTAGTATTCTTTTATGATAAATTTTTTCTCATTCACATTATAGACAGGTATGCTAAACCACGTTGTTTCAAAAATATCGATATGAAAAAATTACCAGTAGAATGGTTTAGTCATCGATCTGCATGGATGGCATCAAAACTTTTACAGAATGATCAAACGATCCTGATATATCAATGCAAAAAGAAAAACGACATATCTTAATGTTTCTTGATAATGCAGCATTTTATCCACAAGAAATTTAATTAGAACATTTAACGCTTATTATCAACGTTATTTAGTGAAGCATATCATTGCTAATGCAACTATTGCTCGTGTTTAAGCATTATAACTATATTTCCAGTAGAACTTTAACCAAATTAGAATCGTAGCAACTCTTACAATAAAATCTACTTTTATTTTTCGAAAAATAGTATATAACTTCAAGAAATTATGAGAAAGATTTGATTTTCATTGCAATCATTGCGAAAGAGTTAATTGAAATAAGTAACACGGGATTAAAAGAAGCATATTAACATATTGTTATTTTCACGTATTATCGTTTGCATTAATTTTCAACTCATAAACACACTTCTATGAAATAACTTTTAACTAATTTATGTCATTGTTAGACCAACGAATTATTTGTTTTGTTATAATTTACAAAATTTATACTTTGTTCTTTATTTTTATAAATTTTTAAAAAATCATACTGTATTTTTTATTCTAATTTTATTTTCATAAATAAAGATTAACTTTATCTTTATTTATAAAGTAAAAATAAAGTAACACCCCTAATTGTCCCTTCGATGTTACCGACACACTTTAAAGAACAATACAGATGCTACGCCAGATAATGCTCATTTCCTCTAATGTGTTGCTGTTGATCAAATGTGCCGTTAACCACATTCTAAATGAAACCTATCAGTATCGAATAAAAAATTCAAATGAAAAGGAATCAGTATTAATTACCTGCTTCTTCTTTAAATCTTTCAAAGCATTTCTTTTGACCTTTTTCATAAAATGACCTAGACAGGCATGCGTCACTGTGCGTTGTACAATACGCCAACATCGTTCTATATATCGATCCATAATTTCATCATGATTAAAAATTTGAATACCAGCAATAAGAAATACTAAAGCTCCATCACTATGAATGATTGGCGGTATAGGAAACGGATTGGAAAATCCATACACCTGTTTATATCTTTCAATAAAACGATTCATCCAGTGACCGATATCTATTGTACCATGTGATTCACTAAGCATCAATGTTAGAAGAAAAGACGGGCCTTTTTCGTAATATTTGACATGGTCAATTCGTAGTGAATTCTCTTGTTCCGATTAATAACAACACCATCTGTAATATCCTATGATAAGGGTGTGGATGTAGCTATTACATGCATCGCTTACCCGCACCCACCCTCACCCACACTCACACACGTAACTGTGGTAAATAATCTTTCATCAACAAAATACGAACATAATGAGTAACACAAAAAATGTGGAACACTTTCAATAATTTTCATGCTTTCTTCATATTTGAACCATTATCTGAAACCTATTTAGAGACAAAAGCGTTAAATAATCTATAAAAACTTTACATGTATTACTCACCACAATTATATTGTTGTGATTTAAGTTGAAATCGTTGACAACAGATAATAAAATATCTTTAATAGTTTTTCCAGTATGTGGCCCATCAAATGTTTCAGTTTTTAGACTATATTAATGCAGTTTAAGATTCGAATCAAGATAATATATTGTAAAACAGATATAAGCCCCATGTCTATATTTGTCACACCAACTATCACATGTTATTGTTGGATATTCAGGTGATAACTTTAATTGTTGTTTTGGTTTTTCAACGCAAACATCATATATCTTATTTAAATTGACCGGTGATAAAATTGTTCGAGATTGAATATCTTCTTTCGAAGCAGCAACTAATGGTTTTATTAATTCCCGTTCAAAATGATTTTTTTGTAAAGATTGTAACTTTCTGATTTGTTTAACTGTTAGACCAATATGATAGAGAGATGAATAAGTTATAACATTTACTATTAGTTTAGTCGCCCATAAACGTACCAACATGATAAAGGTAGGATTCCGCCTAGTATAAAATCATTTATAAGGTCGTCTACTTTCATCTTTTTTTCATTCGTTGAATTTCTTGTTGCATCTAAATCAATGTGTCTTCATTTTATTTCATCACGTACGAGTCTTGTTAATATACTTGATTTGTTTGTCATTTTTATTAATTTACGAACTTTTTTAATTTATCAGGATTTGATAATAATTGCTTCACTCCTTGTCTTTCTTTCTCTTCTTGTATCCGATGATCTTGTCAAGTAATGGCATTTTCATATTGTAATGAGGTTTTCAAGGTCAGTGATAAAGACCGCTAAACAAATAGAACTAGCTAAAAAGTATCAGAAATGCTGCGCAAAAAAATGAAACTGAAGGAGTATCTATGATGTACACAACTATATATAGTCGATGAAACAATGACACCAAGTGTCAGACTATTTGTCATTAAAAAGCTGTTTACATTTTACAGGTGAATGAAAACTAACAATAGAGTTGAATAGTGCGAGCTGCTATATCTCACGATGGTTTTCAACAGAGTGTCTACATAATGTATAATTACACTTACATTAACGATAGATAAACGATATATCAATTAAATGGATTGAATTATATCAGTTAATTTTCTTTTTAAGTGTGGTTGATCGATTGTTTTCATCATTAAAAGTAAGTCTCAAAGATGACATCAATATAATGAATTTGCAAACCTATCATTAATTCATTTGAAAAACGTTACAATCCATGAAATTTGTTACAGAATATCTTGAGGGTGTAGGTGTGGATATCATGTTTATATCATAGTCATACCTACACCGACACTCACACTCACACCCACCCTTCAGTTATCCTATGCAGTCTGTCACCAAAATTATCAAAACTTTTTTACTCATAAAGTACAGAATTGATTATTGATCAGAAATAAAGCATAGTTCTAACAATCGAATAAGTAACTATCTGATATCGATTGTTTGTAATATATATTCAACCAGATATACTAACCATTATCAATTCGTTACATGAATGTTAATCGTATTTAATATATCTTTTTCACAGACGTATCTTCCTATTTTTTACTTCCTCTCAATGTATGATTCTTGATGAAAAACTATCCTCAATTTCCAGAAATAGAAATAATGTATCTGCCAATGTTTTTAACTTACTAACAAACAAATGAACATTTTTATAAGAAGCAGCCATCAATAGAGTTCTGTTCTAATTGAATAAAAAAACATCACAGATGCGCATGTTTTTTAATTAATTTCACACTCAAAGTGTGTTGTGGGAGTGGCATTATTATATAAGTATTATGTCCATAGCAATACACTTAGCTGATCATCTCAAAATAGAAAACAAAAGCTGTGGAATATTACAATAAGGTAATATATATATCTATCTAAAAAAGAATAGTTTATAATTAAATTACGTTTAGTCCAATAAGAACTAGAGTCTAGTTGTAATGATTATTTTTTATCAATAATAAAATAGATCATAAAAATAATGACTTTAATATACTTCAAGATTGAAAGATAGTTAATATATTAACCGTGCATTAATGATCTCACAAATCTAGTTTTTTGGTCCACAAATACTTGCTGTTTCAATCTTAATATTAAACAAAGTAAACTCATTTATAATTGTCTGATCATTCACACTTCTTTTTTTACAAGTATGTATTAATAGATAGTTTCTTATGCGGGTGGGTGTGGGTGTAGGCAATGAAAGACAGCACCCATATCATTACACATTATAGTTAACTGTATAATATCATAATTTTTTATGACTTTCTTCAAGAAAAACAAATTCTTTATTCTTTATTATAAAGTAACACCCGTAATTGCGAGAATAACAACATTTTAATGTATTTGAAGAGAACGTTATTCATAAAAGGCACAAAGTAAATATTTTGTTTTTGATGGATCGTGCTTTTTTATTATTAGTATTTATACGAACGGAGAAAAACGTGTGTCAACTAATTTTTGGAGATAGCAAGGCAATAAAAACTAAAGCTATTTAATTATTTCTTCTTCATTTTACATACGCAAGCCTATACCAACATGAATATCAAAATTATTCTTTTTTTTCTCTTGGTATTATGCCGTACTATTATGCAGGAGAAATTGTATAGCTGTAATTCAAACGCATCTTGTGGCTGTTCTCAACAATCAGCCTCAGTTAGTGCTCGGATTATCAATGGAGAAATGGCATCTACTAACACTTGGTCATGGACTGTTTCTCTCTTGATTGGTAATTACATATGTGGTGGTAGCATTATTTCTGACTCATACATCATGACTGCCGGACATTGTGTTAAAGATAAAAGTGCTTATGAGATTACTGTCTATATAGGTTCAACAAATTTGCACGATGGCAATGCCGAAAGAGTAACACATATCTACTTACACCCTCACTACTATGTGTCTTCATCAGAAAACTATGTCCTACACGATATTGCTTTGTTGAAACTGTTAACGCCTTTGAACATGAACGACAAGACAATAGCCAAAGTCTGTTTACCAAAGCGCAACACTATGCTCATGGATAATACCGAATTAATAGCCGTTGGTTGGGGAACAACGTATGAAAACAGTGAACATGCATCTGACTCACTTCGTCAAGTGACTTTGACTGCTATCAATTCATCTAGTAGCTTGTGCACAAGTATTGCCCATGACATGACAACTCACTTATGTGCTGGAACAATACCATATAGTGGAAAAGGTGAGTGAATATAATGTTTAATAGTTTGTTTCAATACTAAGAATTTCAATTCTTTTTTCCGAATTAAACAATTTATTTCTTTTTAGATACTTGTCAGGGTGATTCAGGTGGTCCATTGATGATATTTAATAACGACAAACAATGGGAAATACAAGGTGTTACAAGTTATGGTGAAGGTTGCGGTAGACGATATACGTCCGGTGTTTACACTCGAGTTGGCTACTATTTAGATTGGATTAATCAAACCATTGAAAGTAATCCTGCTACTACCACTACTACTACTACTACTACTGCTACCACCAAAAGAACGAATGCTTTATCGAAAGTAATCATCAGAAAAGTGGATGTATTACTTATTTACTTTCTCGTTTTTCTTATATTTAATTAAAATGGTAATGGGGACGAAAATACGAACGTTGGACTAATACGAATATTTGAAACATAGTTTTTGTAAAAGAAAAAATATATAGTTGAAGGGAACGAAAATAGTTCTCAACGAAATGTCACCTCGATCATATTCTTGGAAAAGGTAGCTGTGATAAGATCAATAAAGTTTAAAGAACACACGCCTAACCTGTTGTATGTGTACTATCAAGAGAAGTTCGATGTTTCTTTGAGGAATAACACAGTCTACTTGAAGACGGAACAACTATCTTGTTCACGATTTATTTTAGAAGTGAATCAAAACAGAGCAGAAAAAAATGAGAGCAAAAGAAGATGAAGAAAACGAGAAAAAAGGGCAAAAGTTCATGCTCGATGGATGACCTCGGTCATGAAGATAGAGAGATAACGACGGATAGAATTCGTCATAATGGGAAATTACTTCGATCTTTGTCGTTCATAATATATTTTCTAATTTCGAGTTGTTTTAAGCGCAGTAAGTTCCTAACTTGAAATTGATGCAATTGAAAATTATAAAAAAACTAGATAAAAATAATAAAATCGATTCAAAAGTAATAGAATTTATTCTGAAATTATCAATAATCATCATCTAACTGTAAAATAAAAGGAAATACAATTAAACTTGTGCAGTTGCAGTCGATCTTAACGAGTCTAGAGTAGAACAAGATAAACAATAAAAATAAGTTGAATATCTATACATACTGATTTCTGATTCTATTTTCATTGCCGTAACTGCATGATGCGTTGTTACATAGATAATATCAGATGATGTTTTGTCATAAAAATTCATTAATTCCAAAGTACGACGAACACCATCTTTAAATTAAAACAATATAAATTTTGAAAGAAAATAAATAAATTAAATTTACATCGACATTCACTTAAACATAATCGAATATCTCGTTTTTTTAGATCATGATAAATCTACAAGAATCAAAAAAATATATTCCATATTTGATATTCCTTATAAATAATACAAACTTGAATAAGTAATTTAACTCCAACTGTATCAATAAAATTAAATGGTGAACAATCAAGAACAACATAGTTATATTTAATCTCTTTCGTTTTATTAAAATTCTTTTTTTTATATGAAATAATTGGTTCTTGTCGTAATTCAATACCAATTAATTCATAAAATTTTCGTTTAAAAAATGGTGTATTACATGCATAAAGTGATTCATCGAATCGAAGAATCTTCATATTCGCGTATTGATGAGCCTTTACAAACAAAAGATACAATTTACATATCTAGAAAGTACCTACTACAGGAAATAATTTGATATTTTTGTATATTTCAGTATCATCAATTTGACCGAGAACAACGAACGGAGGTCTTTAAAAAAATATTTTATAAAATAAAAATAGATAACAAAAAATAACTGACTTTTGCGTTCGTATTGTATTTATGAGAAATAGAGTACATAGACCTACATATAGACCAATGTCGACATCGAATAAAACTACACTTACAAATGTACTTGTCCACAAAATCTATTCAATGAGACATTATTTATTTGAATAACTCTATTGACTTACACATTCTATATAACTAATACGATAATAAAATACGAAATCTTTAATTTGATATAAAAGTCCTTTCAAATTGACGATAATAGTAGCAGCCAAACAAGCCATTGGAAGCGAATGAAATAATGGTGCTAATGCAGCTAAGACGATACCCAAAAGAATACATGAAAAACCACTGGCGAGTTGAGTTTTACCACCAATTCCTTCTAGTACTACAGAACGACTTAATGCACTTGTACTTGGATAACACTGAAAGAATGATGAGACAACATTGGATATTCCATATGCCAATAATTCCTAATATATGAAATAAATTATTTTAGTAGTATGAGAGATGTTTACTCTTGATCATACTTGGTTCGAGCTGACTTTGTAGTTATGTTTTCGACTCAGCATTTTGCCGATAGAAATCGAAATGCATAAACTGACTACAGCAATTGTAGTAGCAGGTACAATTAAGTATGAAATATGCTTGAATGGAGGTACAGTTGGTAATGGTAAACCTTGTTTGATAGGACCTACCACTGGCACACCGTGAAGATTGTGGATTTTAGTAAAATGAGAGATAAGAGTACCAATAATTACCTAAAATTATTTATTAATAAAATAGAAATATAATTTCTTATATTTTCAAGTCGAATAAGCGACATTTGAGGGTGGATGCTATCTCTCACTATCCACACCCACCCGGATGATTGAAAAGTATAAAAGTGAAACATACTAAAATAAGTTCACTTGGAATAATAATACGTAAAGTAGATTTATAACGATCATTTAACTTCTTCGCTATAAATAAAACAATCATAGATGTAAAGGCAACTGTTGTTGATATCCAATTGATATTTTTAATTATTGAATCAATTAATTGAATAAAAAACCGAGGTAATTTAAAAGCACTTTGGACATGTCGTGGACTTTGTATACCAAAAATGGATGGAATTTGACTTGAAAATATATGAACAGCAGCACCAGTTGTAAATCCACTTATAAATGGTTCTGTTAAATATACAGTTAGGCAGCCAAGACGAAGAAATGATAGAATTAACTTTAAGAAATATTTTATCTTCTATTTATATTATTTAAATTTATCTAACTTACTTGAATAAGTCCAGCGAGAAAAGCCAAAGTTGTAGCGATACCTAATTTTTCATTCATGATCATTACATCGGATACTGTCTCTGTCATATATGATTGATTGTTTATAGTATTGAAGGAATGTAATGGTACTCCATCAATAGCTTGTGCTGTCATCAATGATATCACAGCAAATGTACCTTTACAAAAAAAAAGAACAAATCAATAAAAAACAAGGTAATAATAAATGAATATCATTATACAAACCCATGGATAAATGTGGACAAGTACCAAATATCATATAGAGAAGAACAGGAAAGAAGGAAACATATAATCCTAAAATATATATAAGAGATAATAGATAAATCTAAGAGAATATATATATAAACCATGAACAGGCGGTAATGTTGTTAAAATTCCATAAGCCATCCCTATAATAATTATCAGAAAAGAAAAAAAATTTTTTTAATAAATCAACATTTTACCTTGTGGTATATGCATAATCGCTATTGTGAAACCAGCATTTACATCATAGAAAAGATTCTTTCTTAAATTATATTCTTTAAAACAACGAATAATTGGTATTCGATCGAGTATTGAATTAATAATACAAATACAACTTATTGTATTATAAAATCTATTCCAATGATTTTTTATAGAATTTATTTTTGAAATACGTGGTCGAACAATTCCATATTGATTAATAAATGATTTAAGTTGTCCGTTATTATGATTTTCATGAGATTGTTGATTCAGTATTTCTTCTTCGACAAATTCATCTTCAGTATTATTATTATTATTATTTACTGTTGATAACATATTTATTGAACAATCTATAATTAATTCTACAGAATTTTTCGATAATAATTAATAGCTTATAGTCTAACAAACTACTCAAACGGATTCGGCAACTGTTGTAATACTTGCTGCACATATAGCTGATTCATACATTTCTACACCAGACTTGGGTTGAAATTGTATATAAACTGAAAAAAAGAATGGTTGACAAAATAATAAAATGATATATTGTATAGTAGTAGAAATGAGAAAAATACTTCAAATAGAAATAATCATTGAGTTAAAGCATGCATTACTTAATTCGAGTTCGAATATTAATGAAGCTTTAACCGCATTGCAATACTTTGAAAATAAATGAAAAAAAATCAGCCAGTACTTGACAATATCAAGAGCACAAGAAAAAAAGAAAAAATTTTCTTTCAATATAAACTAATTACATTCAATCCTTTAATATTTTTGTATGAAAATGAAAAAAAAAGAAGGTTTGTGAGTTTTACAAAATTCAGAAGAACTATTTCACAATACTGAAAAGAAAGTAAATATACATCGAAAAAAGTACTGATCGAACTTTGGTGAACGTGCATATAACATTAGTGGTAGCATACACCTAGCGCACACATATGTATCCATACTGAAGTTTGGGCCTCATGAAAATAAAGAACTCGAATGATAAGTAATATGTCCAAAGAGATGTATATAAGTTCACATCATAATGATTTTTACATGGATAAAACAACCGAAAGATAATGAATTGTGTAATCCATTCATCATGATAATATAATAACATCGGTTTGTACTCAATTTGTAGATCAAATCATTCTTATCATTTATTTTTCGTCATACATCAATGCAGCGTTTTATAGAGTTGTTCCATTGGAAAAAGCTTCTCTCATGAAAACGTTTTTTTTTCAATTATACAGTAAACAAACAAAATGATAAAAGAACATCTAAAATAGTTTTATTTAATAAATTCATTGTTTAATTTAAACGAAATAATTTCATCAATTCCTTTCGAAATACTGCACCACTTAAAGTATAGATGTAGAACGTGATGCTATTATTTAGGAATAAACTTATTACAGAAACGTTAAAGATAGTATTTTCAATTGAGTTTTGTAGAATAGATTTTGTATTATAAATGGTTGCAACAGAATAGACTTTATACATGCTAATTGGAAGTGCAGATATGATGAAAACAGCAACCTATAAAAGAAACAAGTTCGTTTTTTCTCTATCTGTTTTGTTTTATATTACTTACTTGTACGACTAACATTGTAACTAACTGTGCATCACGTTTCTGTGCTGTTCGATTAATTTTTGATGAAACTGATTTCGATGGATGATTCACTGTTGTTAATGCAGCTATTGTAGCTAAAGCATAAGCGGTATGTTGTGGGTGGACACGATGATGTGTGTAATGAATATTTTTCAAAGTCAAGAATCCAAATATGATCATCATTAATGCAGGTAATAAGATTTCGAATAAAAATTGCATAAGAGAATCAACAATTTGACATGAAATATTTTGTTTCCGTTGATAACACGATTGTGGTGCACCAAATAGATTTTGGTTAATATCAATACAATAGAATTGTTCACCAAATGCAACAAATCCAAGCATTACAACAAAAAGTATAGATAAATAGGCACGTTTCATTGTCATAATATTCCGTTTCTGAATACTTATGGATGATGAAAGATACCGTTCAACACAGGCTAAACTAATATACCAAGCAGATGTATATCCTGAAAAATATGTTATAAAAAATCTCAGTTTACAAAGAACAGATGAATATTGTGATGGATCCATATTAAAACCATTGAGTAGACGAGGTAGAAGTCCAACAATAATTACAAACGAATCAAAGATAGTTGATACCAAAAGATAATTGACACAAATATTATTACGAAATATTTTACGTGTAAATATTAATATATTTAAAATATTTCCAATTGTACCCAAGAACAAGAAAGGTATGGGAACATAACGATTAATAGCTTGATTTAATGCAGGAAAATTTATTGAAAAAGATGAAGATGTTTTATTCATATTATCTATGTGAAAACAAAAAAGTAATTTAATTGAAGAGTCTAAATTCTAAAGATCACGTAACTGATTTTTGCATCAGCATTTACTAAATGAAATAATTTCTTCCAACTAAAAGTTCATAATTGAAATAGAAATGTAATCCTCTCCACCATACTCTCTATCAAAATACTCGTTGATAGATAAAGAACATTCTCGTATATTAATATCATTTCATTAATTCTTTTTTTCTCCAGACATGAAATCCCTATTAAGTTTTTCGCTAATACAAAGCTTAGAATATCATCTATCGTTCATACTTCATCACAATTTCAATTAGAAAGATTATTTATTTAAACATTAAAAACTATAGTAGACTTTTTGTTCAAAGTTTCTTAGTTAGACAGTAGGAATTTCTTTAAAAAAAGTTTTCTCTCAAATCAAAACTCTGAACCGATCCAAAAAACATGTGAAACAACTCTTACAGTCAGTATGAAAGTCTTCTGTGGATCTTGAGAAAACGATTTTTAGAATATTATCTGTGGTAGAAGTTGTCTAGTTTTGATCTTCAAAAATAAATTGACGATTAACGAGAAATCTTGCCTTCGTGCTTCGAGATAAATGCAATAGTAGAAAGTGTTTTTCTATGTTGACAAAACAATTCTCATAGAAATTTCTATCATTAAATTGCTGTCATACTAGAAGAATCTACTAACAACAACAAACTGCTTATCATAAGTAAAAGCTGACTTATCTTAATGACACTTGTCAGATAAAAGAAAACTTTCATTCTTTTACAAACACTAATTAAAAACTAACGAATGAAGTAGAGAAGATTAGTTGTTTAAACACTTCTTAATGATTGAACTATAAGATAAAACAAGTTAAAATTTTTTTTTATATAAATAAATATAAAATAGTCTTTGATTTATATGAAGTATATAATGCATTTGTAAATTAATATTATTTATTCACATAAAAGAACTTGTATATGACAAAATAATCATAATACCATCTTCTTTTTACATTTTATAAAAAAAGATTACAGCCAGGTCTTCTATAAAAAATGAAATACTAATTTTTTGAAAAATACTTTTTATTTAATTGTCAGATTATTTATCTGAATAATGAAATACAGGCTTGACCTATTATTGATTAAAAACCTTTTCCTTGAATTTAATTTCATATCCTGTTATATCACGAATTGATCTTTCTTCTTCAGTGTCATTTCGAGCTTGAGATTGTGCATGTAAGTGGACATCAAAATGATATTCATCTCTCATTCATTTACTTACATTCTCTCGATTTTGACTTCTTTTGCAGTCATTGCTGAACCATTATTTGCTTTCAATTGGAAATATTCATGAAGATTGCCAATAATTTTTGTCAGAGCCGCTTCAATTACTTTTGAGGATGAGTGTGTTATATTTAACAGAATTTTCGTTTCTAATATTCATTGTCGTTCAATCCGAAATGATGAACTAAGTTGATCTCGTTTTCCTAGATACATATCAGTTTCATAATCTTCTTCGAAATGTGCACTGTAATTAAAGTAGAATTCTTCTAATTGCGATAAATGATATGTTAAATTTGATAACATCATTGGTTTAATATCTTCAATGCTTTCATCCTTGCTGATAAGATTTACAAATTTCAGATAACGAACTTGCGGTATGCAAGGTATTATATTGAAAATGTCATCAAACGCACATTCATGATCAGTAATAAAATGTTCGATAGTACTGATTTGTTGATTAGTAGCAGTTGGTAGTGAGACAGTTGTATAGAATTGATTGGATTGTATTACTGTGACTTTAATATATTTTATTTTTGGTAGATTGAAAATTAATTGATAAATATCACCGAGATCTTTTTCATCACACACTAAATCGATTGTTGACGAGAAATAAAATTAATAGATCAGGTTCAACTTTACTAAAAGCAATTGATTCGAGACATGTGAATGAAGAAATAATTTGATAAGTGTATTTCGATGACCATATATAAATTGAAAATATTCAATTTTTATTTTTAATAGTAAAGATGAAGAATTAACTAATTGTTGGAAACGATAGAGTTTATAACTATTGAAATAATCAAAGGTTTCATAAAAGTTCTAATCTGAAAGAAAGAATAAAATGTGCACATGTTTGTTCGTTATCTTTTGTTTATATAGTATTATCGAGAAACATATATTCTTTCTTTTCGTTCCTATTGTAATGAAGTATTTAACTATTCTTGTTTATGATCGATTTTTAAATTGTTTAACGAATCACAAATTTTCATCAACAACTTAATTTATATGTACTAAATCTTTAATGTGATGTCGAAATATCGATGGTTAACACGTCGAATTCACAATGTCAACAAAAGAAATGATGAAGTATCCTGTCGTATATTTTCTTCTCTTTACTGTCACCGTCGCAGCTCACGCTCGCACCCTCATTTTATTACCGATAGTATTGTTCATTACTGCATTTATTTTATGGAAACCATCTTCTTCTCCGTCGTTATTATTTCCCTCTTAAAATAAGATATTCATCTTCACTTTTTACAAGAAACTCGATATATTTATTTTGTTAAAGTGTTTTTTACATAGTTGCGTTGTAGAAAAATAATTTTCTGTTATATAAGCAGACCAAGTTTTTTACGCAAACTATTGTGATTGTTTTCGACATTGTGGGTAAATATTTTATATACAACTCAATTGTCAAGAAATTAGACACTATTTTTAAAAATTATTACTGAATTAAACCTATGAATTCTATATACGTTGATGTGTATTGATGTTTAATTATAAAACAGGCAATAAAAGGAGAAACCAAGAGAACACACTAAAGAAAAATACCGAACAGAACGAAAGAAAAGATACAGTTAGCCTGAATAATACCTATATACTCACTCGTCTTATGGCGCATTATAAGTATGTACTATAACAGGGATGAAAACTTAATCCCATCCCGTATGGAGTTCTAGTATATAATTATTCTTTTTTTCTTATCGAAGAGAATAATTAGATACACTAATTCAATACCATGAAACATTTTACATTAATATGTATGATAGTTATTACTTTTAGCTATTCGGTAACAGCTAGAAACGTTAAATTGACATATTATTAGACTGCTTTTGAACAACGTTATTGTAGATACACAAGGTATTATTAAATAACTATTGCTTTCTTTTCTCTAGACTTTCGATCTGTAATGGCCAGTTAGTATCATAGTCTGAAATTTTCTTTCGAATTAATCTTTTATTTTTCTGGTCTGGTCACGTACATACATATATCGAGTTTATTTTGATATTTAAGAAAAGAAGAAATAACAACAATTTATAAACCGATAGTGGCACGCTGGAACATACATATTACAGAAAAAAAGAAAACAAACAACACAAAAAACTTACATATATTAAAATAAAGATTAAAAACAGTTACGTTAATTGATAACGTTGTACTCTGTGGTTGTTCATGTCACTCACATACAGAAAGGTCTCATCCGAGTTCAACGCAACATTCGAAGGTGTATTTAACATCGTCGCATTAGCACCACTTACTTTAGTAACACCAACGACAGTCACGCCGCTTGTCGCTCCTGGACTCCAAAGCTGAATTCGATGGTTATTTGCATCAGCAATGTAAATATTGCCCGTCTTCTTCGAAACGCACATACCATATGGCGTGTCCAATTGATTACTAGCGTATCCTGCTCCATGTCCGCCGGCTACGGTAGTCCCATACGTTGAATTGCTGAGACTGTATCGTTGAATTCGGTAATTTCGTTGATCAGCAATATAAAGATAAGAATTATTTTCATCAAGATAAAGTCCATAGGGCCAATTGAGCAAATTGTTGGCGCTACCTGCCACTCCTGTCTGGCCAGCAACAAGAATGCCAGCCGTGGCATTCGGAGTCCATTTCATCACACGATGATTGGCAGTATCACTTACATAAATATTTCCCTGCGAATCGACAGTTAAACCTACTGACTGGCTGATTTGTGTTGCACTAGCCCCAGATGAAGCGTTACCTGCTGCTATGACACCAAATGATGCATTCTTTCTCCATAACATCACCCTATAGTTAAAATCATCGTTAACATAAATATTTGAATTTGCATCGACAGAAATTTCTGCTGGATTTTTCAATTGATTGACATTACTACCGCTTGTTGTTGAACCAGCAACGATTGATCCTGTTGAGGATCCTACTTGAAATTGCATCACTCTAGCGTTACCATAGTCAGCGACGTAAACAGTGTTGTTTGCCCCTATTGCTAAACCCCACGGATTTTGTAAAGTGTTATTAGCATTTCCACCTGTGCTATTTCCATAACCACCGATAGTAACTCCGTTCAATGGAAAGGATACTAAAATATCGTAATTACACAATTTTTCAGTAAAATATTAACTAGGTTCTAATTGGGAGACAGCTCAACGAGCTCTACCCAATACTATACTCTCATTTTCCGTATTCGAGACTATGATTTGAGCTATAGAAAAAAGATGAGCGTATCGTTTGTTAGAGCACGTTGACTGATCCTTTAAACAAGTACTGGAATGGTATGGAAGTGTGTTCTCAATATTACATAAGTTGATCTAATGATATTCAAAATACAGATAGATGTTTTATTACCTGCTGACGTATTTTGAAATGATGATTGTTGTTGTATAAATATAAATGTTGAATCAAGATTTACTTGTATCATCGATGATAATGATGAATAATTAGTAAATAATACACATGTTTTATTATTATAGCAATTTAATCCTACATATGATGGAGATACACTTGAAAGTAAACCTTGACAGATACATTCCGAGCATGTATCGTTGTATGTTATAATAACACTGCTATTGGTAGAGACATACGCTGCATTGAAAATGAAATCAACAAGCTCTGTATAACCCATATTAATAATATTCATGGTTAAAATGAATAATAAAACTGATCGTACCATTTTATTATCAAATAAATAGAATAAAATAGATGAAGCGTACTACTTCGTCGCAGAATAAAATGAAATAAAAATAGGATTGTAAATTGCTGTATTTTCTTTCTTTTATCATTTATACATTTTTAAAGTGCACTCTAACTCAACTATCTATCATACTTGAAGAGTTTAAATATATATTGAAACTGAGAATAAAATATTTTATTGGCCATTTACCAATTTGTTTTTACTTGTAATGGTTATAGAGTAAAACTATAATGAATAAGAAACGTCGCTATTTTTGTTTCAAATAAGTTCGTAAAAATAAGAAATATAATCGAACTTACATTGAATGATATTCGTTTTCAGCTTAGATTTATTTAATAAGAAAATGCGAAGAACATAATGTTTTTTTGTTTCTTTTGAAGCGTACGATTTTTAGTCACAATGATTGCCATAGTTGGAGTTGATTTATCTCTTATTGATTTTATAATTTATCAAAAGTAAAAGTTGTAGATGCATCTAGTCTTAGTTACTCATTTGAATATTAATTGGTAAAATGAAAAGGAGAAAATACACACACCCGCACCCTCTTCATAAATAATTATAATGATTTTTTGTCATTTGTGGAAGTTATAATAAATCTCAAGATGATTGAGATATATTTCTCATAAATTTTAATAAATTTCTCGTAATTAGACGATGTTTCATATCAAAATTCGCATGTGTAAAAGTTTTTTAAGATATTTTACAAATTTGAGATTTTTTTCTTACAATAAAAAAGTAACAGCGTACATTGTTTATTAATATGAAGAAGCCGTTGCCTTCAGTTTTCTACAAGAATATTATTGATATTTTTCGGGTTTCTTTCATTTGAAAATTAGTTTTTATTCAAACAACGCATATGAAATCTCCTTATAAAAGACACAAATGTGCGGAAAAATATAACTACATCGACATGACAGAATGATGATGAGGAATATGATTACAAGCGTGGATATAAATATATGTCTGAGTATTTTTCGTAGTTCCGTATTCATTCACTGTCATATTTACCTTTCTCTTCTTTTCTCTGTTGACATATTCTAGAAAGACGCAGTATTACTTCTATGAATCAACAGTCATAAAAAAAATAATATAATTGGATTTTGGGGAAAAAACCCAGTAAATAATTTCTTTTTATGAGGTTGGAAGCAAGAAAGAATGAATCAGAAGAGTGGCCTATGAAAGTATATAAATTCAATATATTTCTCTTCATACTTTTCCAACGTATTACTCTATTTTACTTCATCTTTTTCAAGTCTCTTGGTTACTAAACAAGTAGAAGAAGAATATCGTGAACACAATCAATAAAATAGCGATTTATTTTCAACCTTTTTGTTCTCTTTTCATAACTGATTAACGTATATTCTTGTATCTTCTTCTAGATTCATTGTCGTCATTCTCACGATCATAAACGGAACAAGGACGATGTGTGGTATTAAACGTTGTTGTAGAAATTGTTGTCCAAACGGATGTTGTGGATTCTGCAAACCGCCTAAACAAGTCCAACAACAAGTTGATACATTAATTCATTTGAAAGAAGCAGTTACAGCATCAGAGACACGTTATGGCTTTATTAAATTCTATCCGGGTAAGATGAGTTTTATAATCTGTTCATATCTGGTTTCACTACAATTTTACGAAATTCTTGCACAGAAAATGGTCTAAAAATGAAACATATTTTGAGGTGAATAAGAACTAAACATCTTGAGGGTGGGTGTGGATGTGGGTGTAGTGAGTAACTTAAGACATCAACCACAACCACCCTACACCCACACTCATCCACTACGAGACTCCATAAATCATCTCAACGAGTTCTTACTTCAAGTTTAAGTTTGATGTTCTCATCTTTATCTATTTAATTAGGTGTTCGCACAGTAGATAACAACTACACTTGTCCAATGCTTGCTATTCATCTTTACCGTCAAGGAAAATTTAACGCCAATATGGCTCAAGATAATCGTACAGTCACTTATGCTGGACGAAATCATCAACAAACTCATCAAGGTGAAAAACAGTTTATAAGCACACAGAATGCAAGTGCTGAAGAAGAGGTCATCATGGTTCCGCTTGAAGATGTGATACACATCAGTTATAAAGCAGATGTTAAAATAGGTATGCAAGCTGATATCAAATCACACGTTACTCCTGTGCATGAACGTAGTGAGAATTGTTGTGATCGTTGCTGTGCTCCAATAGTCAACTGTTGTCGTAAAACACGTGATTGTTGTTGTTGTCATTCCCGCCAAGAAGAAAACAAAGTTGCTCCTTTTGTTCAGAACACAACAACTATCATTAATGCAAATTCAAATCGAAATGAAGACTACGTAGAACAAGATTTACCTCTTCCGAAGGTGAAAGAAAGTTGCTGGAGTAGGTGCTGTAATCCATGTCGTTGTTGGTGTTGTCGAAAGAAGAGATTAGTCCGGCTCATTAAAAGAACAAACACCAAAGCTGCACGACAGGCAGAACGTGTAATAACAATGACAATTCAATACAGCAAGTACAGTAATCTTGACACAGCTTCGCATACACGTTTACTCAGTAATCAAGATCAATTAGAGTACTTTAAAGCAAAATTTCAACCTGATGCAGAGCTCGAATTCTATTTAATCAACGACACAGAATTCGAACCAATGAATTTTGATGTGAAAAAGAATGAAGCTGAAGTTCTATGTCGAACAGTGATGCAATTAAAAGGAATGAAAAATCGATATCCATCAGCAGATGAATTAGATAAGATTCTTGATCAACCTCAACAGAGAATATTTGGCACAATATTTCATGAACCTATTTTACAACTTCCATCAAATGCCGAAATACAAAGAGTGACTTAGTTTTAAACTCGACAATTATCTGGACAAGTATCGATTCAACAACAATCGGCTGCAGCATCAGAATAACATAAGAAAAGTATTTAATGTTTTTTTTTATCTTTATCATACTAACTATATGAATTAATATAAAATTAAGAAGAAAAAAATAAAATACACACATAGACAAATTCATCCGATCAATGTCTTTAATAGACATGTTTTATACAATAACATTCATTTTTATATTAAATAAAAACGAGAATAAATGTCAAGAATAGTACAAAAAAATAATCAGAATACAGACCAATACTTTTACTCTCTTTACTAAAAGTTGTATACAGAAACGATAGTGAATATACTAAATCAAAACCTTGAAGGAACAACAAGAGTGTTCTGATATTTGTATATACTACTATACGATGGCAGCGAACGATTAAAGCACGTGTATATTTTCTTCGTTCGCCTGATACCGTGGTAGTTTACGAAGGATAAAATATTCGTAGTCTTTAAATTTTGTTATTCTTTTCAAGTTTTTATGAAGTATAAGAGAAAAAAAAAGAAATAAATAGGACAAAAATTTATATTTGTTAATCTGCTTGAATCAACAACGACTACGTCTAACGATGTTATTTCATCGCTAATGACGGCTGCTCACCAAAATGGTTACCGTGAAGCATGCGATGTTCTTACTATTGCCAATTGATTGGAAATTGTTAAATGGTAATGTTTCTCATCATACGACATTCGTTTCCTCATATACCTTGCAAAGATATTACCGGAGTTGTGGCCAATATAGATTCATCAGTAAAACGTTTGAAAATCGGTGTGGGTGTGAGTGTGGATATTCTGTTATATTCATATGCACGCCCACACCGTTGATCATAATAATAAACATTTGGATGAAGTACTTCAAGGTAAACATCGTAATTGAATGTTTCTATTTATCAATATTTTATATTTGACACAACGCGATGATCAATTTTTTTACAATTGCTAGCAATAATCCTGAAGCAACTATTTCATTAAATACAGCGTTTCCTTTTGAATCGCGTTTCTTATCATGAAAATTAGGTTCAGTTTTTGGATCTTCACATCATTCGCATATATTTCATATGATTCCTACATCCTATTCAGAATTAGGTCATATGCGTACTGCATTTTTCGAAACAGGAAAAGTCAAACTATTGATCGATACAGTTTTTGATTTGGCAAAAAGATGATGTTCAAGCATTATATAAATTATATAGAAAATTCAAAAGTGAAAAAGCACAAGGAAAACTAATCTTGAAAATTATCAATGAATAATAAATGACTGAACCATCATATATTCTTTAAAAATATCTAGAGAGTATGAGTGAGGCTATGAATTCGTTGTTAAATATTATATACTAATCTTTTATTCCTCGCCTTTAAAATATCACAGATGTATTTTCACAACATACGAGATTTCTCTACTTTATTTCAAATACGCAAAATATACGCACACACATCGAGAACTACGTCTAGATAAAAGAGAAAACATACGTATACATACATCTTAACAATAGAAAATGGAACAAAATAAACACATGAATATTTATTTAATGCACATACATTAGGGTGTGGGTGTGGGTATCTTTTTTTCAATAACACCTACGCCTACACCCACACCACCCTTATGTACACTTGAAAATGCAGATCTTTATTTTGAAGTTATAGATTTAGAAGATACAAATAGTTATCTTCTTCAACATGATGTAGTTCAAATGTATATTGTACATGCTATAGTAAACATTTAAATGAAAGAGACTATAGAGCGTTTTTATCGTTATTTGAATCATTAAAGACTGTTCGAAAATCACGTAATATGCAGTGGACCTCTCTCCCCCCATATACTGAAGTTTATTTTGAAAAAATATTGTTTTATTATTTGCCTAATCATATGTAATTTATTTTTTTGTTTAATACGTAGACGTTATTGAGCATCAGCATGATTTTGATCTAGTCGTCATCACATGCAAATTGTGATTATCGACTAGTTTTTCAGATGATGAGTTTGAATTTAATTTAGGTTCTGATGCCTTCGTTGATATTGATAATATTTTATTTTGATCTGATAGATGTTCATTCATACGTGTTTTTAAATGACGGCATATTTTTTCAATATATTTTTCGTTGCATTGAGGACAAGTTGCTTCGTAAATAACACCCGATCTTAATTCTGTTAGTATCTGGTCTTTGATGATGAACTTCTGACCGGCTCAGGTGGTTACATCATAAACAGCTCGTATCTTTTCCGATGGATACTGTTTATTGACTGCCACCGTAATATGTGTAGCATACACTTGACTTGATTTTGCATAAAAAGGTACTCACAAAACCACGGTATCTGTTTAATGTGCTGTTGGCGTAGTTGCACGTAGTATGTATACAAGATTAAGTTGCCTTCGAATTATATCAAATTTATCTTCAAGAGCTTCGTAAGTTGAATAAATTCGAATAGCTCTATAAATCATGGTTGAAATAGCATTGTACTCGTACGGTTTTAGCACGAAGCTGTCCCATTTTGTAAGAAGACTACAAACCGTTTCTTTTCTATACGTTCAAGTTTGAAATCCGATACAGAGCTGTCGTTCTACAAGTACATCGAGAAATGAAGATGCAGTTTTTGTAGTCGAATTTTTTATTGAGTATTGCATTGTTTTCCAAGATGTTTTTTAATCAAGAATTTCATTGGAGGTGCATCTTCTTTACTTAAATCCTTTTTTGTAGTTGTATATTCCTCTGTGCAGGTAAATTTTAATGCAGAATGATATTACGTTAATTGAGCAGCTATGTTTTTAGCAGTGACTTCTGAATCAAGTAATATAAAAGTGTCGTCCACATATCATTTGCAATATACGACACTTGTTAGCCCTACGTCGTTCTATATATACATATGTTTATTTTACGACCTATGAATCACTGAAATCTATTTTCGCCAAATGAATGAAAAAATCTTTAATAACTTCATGTTACAGACGAGAGAAGATAATATACAAGAAAAAAACGAAATAAAAAGTATAAAAAATAAGTCTCATGATGTTTGATTGTTTATAAAAAAATTATAATTGTTTTCATTAAACATATGCCTATAGTTACTTTATTATGAGCAAAATCTTGATCTTCTTGATTATTGAATTGTAAACGAAGACTGCTGTTGTAATAGTGCGGAATATAAGCATATCGGATCTGCAGTGCAATGAAATATTGTTTTGTTGTTGATAGAGTCCACTCATGATTTACTTTTCTTTTGATCATTTATTGTTGTCGTTTAAATTTTCTTTTTTCATAGCGTTGTACAGTTCTACGTCTAATAGCTACTCGACTTTGAAAAGAAGATTGAGATGATTTTAATGTAAGAGATGTTGAAGCTCATACTATTGAATTTATTGATGATCTTTCAATTAATTCGTTGAAATGATTAATAATAGCATCGGAAAGATATGATTAAAATGAAAATGAATGTGCATATGATCATTTGCAAGATGGTTTGCGCAAATAAGTAGATCGGTAACATTAAAATCTATTCGAGAAGATAGTATTTGTAATTGTTCGTTAGACAAGTATATTTTAAACATTAAGGGAGATGGAGTTTGAAACAATGAAAACATAAAGCAATAGTAATATTTCCATGTTCATTAAAGCGAAGAAACTTTTGTCGAACATCAAAAATTAACTGTTGAATTTGAAGAGTAATTTCTGTTGTCAGCTTAACACGAACAGAATTTGTACCAATTCAATATAATATTGTACTAGCCTGAAATAAAGAAGGTCGAAATGGCATTGATGCTAGTAATGTAGAACCACAAAGTCTTCTTTCATAATTGTTGAACCAACTAAAACCTAAAACAGTATGCACGACCATATTATACGCTGCTGTATTTCTTGGGCCGAGATTTTTTCCATGGCTATCAGCTAAGACGAGAAAGTTCATTGACGATGAAGATTGATTCTTCATAACTAAAATATATTTTGGTATATGAAAGTAATTTAACACACACTCTAAAAAAACAGGTGTTATAGTGAGCCATTAAAGATTTTAACGAAGAGATGGAACCTTTTATGGTTCTAGATTTGAGTACCATTTTCACAGCCTTTCTCGAAGTTCAATAAAAAATTTCTGAAACCATTTATGGTTCTGTATATCTGGCTAAAACCATTTTAAGTTCTAGATGTTTTTACTACAACCTAAAAAGGTTCTGAAAATGGTAGCGAAAAAAGGGTTCAGGATGTCAAGTTTTTTTTACAGAGTGCCTAATCATTCCTAAATTATGTTCCATTTGTTTTGTTTTGTGTAGAAAAAACATTTCCTACCGTATTATAAAGGATATATCTTTTAATATCACATTGATTCGGATATAAAAGTTTAGCATACTCTAAATTAGGAAAATAATTATTCTATTTTGAATAATCGTTAGTCCAATTACCTCTAATATCAGATTTTTCTTGTCTGGACATTCGTAAAATTAACATTGAAGCTCGTATATGAATATCAGAATTTAAGCCTTTTGTTATATCAGTGTTAGCGTCAACGGTTATGACATCATGACGCTACACCGTATATAT